AAAATTAATTAAAAAAATGTACTAAATCAAAAAACTGCACCAAAAAGTGTCCAATGCTACCAATAAAAATATACAGTGAACAAAGAAATTAAAGGACTGTACAAATCTGTGCAACATGTGCAAATATTACTTGTGTATTATTCATCCCGTTGAGGAAATTCAAGGGTACTTATGCTTTCCACAACTACCAAATTGCTATTTATTTAATGCCGGGCCAACCTGCTGGCTACTAGAATGCATTTCATATCACAATATCTACATGGCCACATACATCCAAAGTGTATAAACAAAGAGTACAGAGAAATTTGACTTTGAAATGTCTGAAACCAAAACATATGATGACCAAAAGTATGCAAAAATGTTGTTATAAAAATGTGATTAATTGATTTACTTAATGTATAAATATTTTAAAGATAAAATCAGTAGGAAAGAAACATTCAGCCAAAAACAATCAAATATTTTAGCTGTTGTAAGGATTTGTTTTTTGTGGCTTATGTGACATTAAGATTATTTTTGACTGCTTTCCAGATATAATAAACTATTTGTAGTCATCAGATTTGGTGCTGCTCTTCTGACAAAAAAAAAAAAGAAGAATTTAGGGACGTTCACTTGAAAACTTGAAACTATGATGAGCATTTTTTTTTACATTGTATAGACCAGACAATTCATTCATTTTTTTGATAATAAAGTATGTATAAACACACAATGATGTCCTGAACACAGTTGTTGTGATTTTTAAGCTCAGGGGGAAGAATAACCTAATTATCATTAAGTAGATAACAAAAAGAGGGCTTGTGCTTTTTGGAAATGACCTAACAGGAACATATAGATGGAGAAAGGAAACAACAAAAAGAGAGATGAAAGCTGGGGACAAACAGCCAACTAATACAGCGCAAGACATTTTGTATAGATATAAATAAAATAAATTATCCACTATGGGTGCTGCGGGCTGCACAGTGCTAACTGTCGGCCTAGAAACTAAAGTTTGATTAGTTTATTTATTTGCACAGGTGAAAAACAAAAACAAAAAAAAAACAATAAAAAAAAACATGGAAATGCATTAAAGAATTAATAAAGACAAGGTTCATCAAAAATATCCACAAAAAGGGTAATAAAACAACAACTAAAGGATTAGTACCAATGCAGTAAGAGTGGTAATTATCAGGGTACAACAAGGAAGGGACAGAAAAGAGACATCAGGATGCTAAACATTCAAGCATTAAATTAGCTTTAAGCCTAGAATTTAATCTTTGGAATAAAATTATACCTATCAAATAAGCATCAAATCAGCTTAAAGTCTACATTTAATCTTTACTCACTGTTACTGGGAAAATAAACCATCATAGCAACATAAGCATAGCCTTTAAATATACTGAAATAATTCAATATTTTATGCTCATATGTATTGGGTAAAGCCGTCCATGTAATTATAATTTTAAACAAAAATGTTGGAGTCTCACACTCATCGCTGTGAGCCAGGCCAGACACATATTTGCATATCTGCAGTGCAGTTCCGCCTTCGGCCTCTGGGGTGTGACAGTAAGTTCATCAACAGTTCCTTTGCACTTTTTTTTTTAATGGCAAAGAAGAAGTTTCAGGTTTTTGGGGGGTGAGGGGCTGGCCTTTTTTGTTCCGCTGGAGAATCCTGCTTGAACGGTGAGCAGGAGCACAACAGACCGTCAAGAAATCACAGCGCCGCGGACAATCGGCGAAATCACAGCGCCGGGAGAGATCACGCTGCGCCGCCGAGGAAGAGCGCTCACAAATCCGACGGTATCGCCCTCCAGCTCTGCCGCTACTAGCTCCAGGGTCAACGGGCAGACAAGCAACTGGCAGCTATCGCCGTTAGCCTCAACTCCTCTGCGGGTCTGGGGGGGTTCTGGTAGGGGCAGGGGGCGGGGGTACACCGAGAAAGGGAGAAGACTACACGCCGAGAGGAGGGGGCTGGAAGTCTGAGACGCTTCCACCCTGAAGGGGCCGGCGGTTTGGCCACAGCACCCCGGAGTAGCTAGCTTGTACCCGCGCGGCTAAGTGAATGGGATGGAGCCGGGACCGTCTGGCGCTGGTAGGTTCATTTTTACTTCACTGCTCTCAAATCCTATCATTTCAGATACCCGTTATGGCTGCATATATTGACTGCAGATGGAGAAAACGGGCCACCGTAGCCTGGCCTTAGCGTCAGGGAGATGTACAAGGAGGCTTGGTGTCAACCCTGTCCGTTGCATCGCAACGTTTAGAGGAGGGAGAGTGGGAGATGGAGCGGGCTCTCTTTCTGTCTCAATGCACAACACTTAGTAAGAAACGTTATTATTTATCCAGATTTATGGCTATAGACAAGCCTTTTGGACCGCTGACAATATCCCCAGCCATGCGCGGGGGCAGGGAGGTCGTGGGAATCTCGGTGAGGAGGGACGAGGTGAAGCCCGCCTTCAAGCAGCAGCAGCAGCTGGCTGCAGCCCGCACGCTCCGCACAGCACACCAGCCTCCCGTCCACTGACAGGGGATGCTGGGTCGCAGTGTTAACGTTGTCTAAAGAGTGTTTAACACCACTGCCTTACATGCACATATTAGAGGTAACCTCAGGCCTACCATCTGCAGGGACAGATGAATGATTTATTTATGTGAAACCAAAAATAATCCTCAATTGTGATATCTGCACATTTGCTGTTGGAGTTGACAGAAGCTGTTTTTAGACTTGGACAGACAGAAGCATCTGCAGTGCATTGCGTTTATATGTGTGGTTTTTCTCTGCACGTTTCGCTTTCAGATTTACAGCCAATGAATGCTTATCGGTGCCAGACATGATCTATATTTGGTAGTTTTCTTGGTGGATACTAAGGTGTGGAAGCAAGCAATTAAAACACCAACTAGGCAGCGGTTGACTCATGCCCAGGTCTGAAGTTCA